ACTTCACCTCCTCCTGCTTCTCCTCCTGTTCCTTGCTCCTTCTCCTCGCCTCGGTCGTCGACGTCGACGCCGCCGCCGCCGCCGCCACCACCACCACTACTCCTCTTCTCTCCGTGCCACTCCCCTCCGTAACCAAGGTACGACGGGCGCCGTTCAATACTTCTTACAGACGCCCCTGCTAGAACAAGATGGACGCCAGGCGACGCTCGCCAAGACGCCCCCCTCCCCGCCGCACGAAAAAGGCCGGCGAGCGCCACGGCCCGCCGAGGGGCGGGGCGACGCACGGCGCCTACGCTGGCATATCGTTCACGTGCGCTCAGCAGCACTCACATGCGGCGCGGCGCTCGCGGGGCGTGCGGGACTTGCACGCGGAAGAGAGAGGCATCTCGATTCGCGACCGAGCAATTGCTCGAATGCGAGTTCTACGTCCAACTTGTGTTTGCTGAGATTCAATTGATTCAATCAATTAAGCAATAACAATACATCCAAACATAGCAAAGGCATAACTACGCATATAACCATCTATTACTCTAAATGAAATTTTAAAAAAATACTATTTCCATTTATCTTAACAAAAGCAAACTAGCAGTTAGATTTACAAAATGAAAGATTAATCCGAGTGAGATGAAGACAATACAGGTATTTTGCTTGGAATCAAATTAAAAACTCATAAGAATGCATTATTTCCCCCCCCCCAATTTTTGTGACTTATAAAATGATAAATACGCTGGCATAACGTATTAATTCTCACCACAAGTGTACGCCTTTTGATAAACGTGTGCAATGCTCTACAAAGATACAGCACAACTTTCCTGGAACCCACAGACTCGACTCCGAAACTATTGTCCAACTTGTGTAATGCAGCTGAGAACAACTGGGTAACGCTTTAATACTGGAGAGCGCGCATATCTATCCCATTACATCAACTTTCTAAAATTGCGAACGATGATTTATTAATACAATTTTCAGTTTCGTCCAACTGGGACATAAATTCGACATAATTTCCCGCGGCCCGTGATAAACATTAGTAAGTACAGAAATGCAGAAACTAACAGCGATTCTCAACCAGTGTGGCGGAAGGAGACGCAAATAGATGTCTTCGCAGAACCTCAGTTCTGTGTGTCATGCGGTCGCTACTGCAGTAGGCACCGTCTCAAATTTAACATACACACAATTTCATCACCCTGCTTGAACAGCAAGAATTGCTAAATTTCTCCACATAACCACCAATTATGGAATTTCTGAAACCTTTTTGGATGCTATTAATTATACATCGCACCCGGAATGTTGCCATGGTAGTTGAATATCTAATATCTTCCCCTCACTGGAAAGCATGTAACTCTTGATTGTGTATGAGTCCATTCACACAATATGTAAATGGAATCGACAAATGGATAGTACGAGTATATGTTACTATAGATACCGTGCAATCACCATGAAATAGAAGACGAATAATATTAATAAAGAAAAAAATAATTGAGGACTTAAATAACGTTATCTGATATTATGGACGAAGTTCAGATTACTGACTTTTAGGAGCGAAAGGGAGTAGCTATTTCTATGTTCTAAGTGGAGTCAAGAACAGACAATAAAGGGCAATAATAATTCACTTGTACATTATGTCATATGCGTAGCGCCTTACCTGTTACAGTGTGTAAACAGAACAGTGCTATCGCAACGCATTTTCTTATGAAACGCAAAAACAACAGGTAACATTGTTTATACCCGAATGCCTCAATTAATGAAATAACATGATCAATGACACTAAGTTCTATACACTTCAACAAAAGTTATGGAATTAATATAAAAGAAATACACATTTCATGTGTCAATAAGTGTAAGTAAGTGACTTTCAAAAATTATATCGTGAAAATTTTGTACAGGTTCCTTTCATACACAAAACGGGTGAAACATTCTAGTTATCAACTAGTGCCAAAAATAATACACACAAAAGAACTACACTTGTCAAGTTGTTTGCACTTTACAACATTACAATTCTTTGTAACTACGTGGAAGACAAAACACATTTACCTCATTTATTACATTTTCCTCTCATCTCAAATATTTACACTTCTTAAAGAAGTTAAACTATTATGAAATAAGAATTTTGACAATAGATATTCACTGAATTTCCAATAAATTCCATTATTCTATATCTCGTATATTCTGTTGTACTTTACATTTAGGATAACTATTACTACACATGAGAGCATAGGCTTCCGCGGCCGGAATCCAACTACTACGATCTAACTCGTACTTGGCTGTCCAGGAGACGTCACGTTCTACACATAGGTGCCAACATTTCTGCCACCATTCTGCCAACTTCCTCAGGGCGATGCAATTCTACACATTACTATACAATCACATGTGAAATTTTAATTGCATGACGATTACACAAACAGCGTCGATCTCACAGAAGACAATGAATTAGTAAATATTGTTACAAGCATTCAGTGATCTATTTATCCAACAATGACTACGAAATTTGCAATAGTTCTATTTGCTTCCATTAAGACACCTGTACCCCTTTCATTTCAATCGAACAATTTGTAAAAAGTCGATTTGTGGAACAAAGTCATCAAAATTGGTGTGATTTGAAGAACATTTACTTACGCGTGGATAAAAGATTTACATTACGCCGCGGAAGAAAAATAATACAAATTCACATGTATTTTAGAAAACGGCACTTCGATTTGTAATAACATTTCTAGTATATGTAAGTTCATTACAGAATAAAATTACATTCTACTTTATATTCTGATAGTTAATGCATGTTTAACCACTGAATACGAGATACACATAATTTTCTCAGTACTTATCTTCTAAATAATTATTTATCGTTAATTTGACATATTCTACTTTTTTCATTTAACGTTTCTTTCTCAATTCCCCTAAAAATATAAATGAAGTAATACTTAATATGTTTACAACAAAGAAGCATCATCTTCCTTTCTGTAATATTGTTCATGTTTGTTGTGTTGACGTCCCCTTTTCAATTCTCCCTGAATTCAAAATTATTATTCCAATATTCGCATATGAACTATCGTATACTTGAATTATTTATCTATATACTTTATAAACATACAATGTTACAAGTTTATCCTATAAGAGTCACAAATAGGATTTAAGATACAAAGTATTATTTGGAACAAATACAGTGTCAATAGATATAGATTTATGCACGTGCCGAACTCAAGATGTTTCGTTCATGAATAAAATAAAGTAAAATTAATTACCTGTGAACGACTTAGAAATAAATAATGTAGTGAAAATTATAATAAATGCATAATATCAAACTTTTAAACAACTTCTATCATCTTTTCCAATCTCTTTTACTGATGTAGCCATACGAGAGTGATTAACTCCTCCTTAAATTTGTAGGTATATCAACTAATCATACATTTAATGTGCTTTAAATTAATAGAAGTTATTATTTTGGTATATAATTGTACCGCTACAAAACAAGAGACACATAAAAAACATTTTATAAACACACTACTTCACCTTTTTGTCCCCCAATACTCTGACATTTCGAATCCACAATATAAAAGTTGAAAATACGTATGCACCTACACATCTCAATATATAATTACAATTTTTTAAACACAAAACGAGATGACGTTTGTAGTATCCATTCAAGGTATACCTGTAAGCGTGACACCAAAGCAAAAATTCCATTTGCCAAAGAAACGTATTGCAAACGTGCGGTCTACAGTTCGGTGCGGTCATTTTACGTCATTATGCGGCAGAAGTGTGAAAACACTGAACAAAAGTGAATGCTAAAGTACAGATACTGAAATATTGAGAAAGTATTTATCTATACTTTATATAATTCATATTGACTGCAGAAGGAAACCGGAAGAAAAAATAAAATTATGAGGGCAGAACAAATTTCATTCTGTTACTACGGGCGGTTCGTACACAACGGCCAGTTCGTTATGCAATTAAAAACGTGTTCTATTTATAAAATATATTTCACCAAGTCGGCTAATATTATGTTAATACGTTCATTCTTGAGAATCATACCAGAAACAGTTCCAGGAAGTGCCCCATGGTGGCACTGCTTGTATTTTTATGAAAATGTATCATTTGTGGTCATTCCATATTATTTCTTCCTCCGAAATCAAGAAAATTACTTTCAAGTTTACATAGTGTAGCAAGAACCGACTTTGATAAGTCCTTGAAACCGGAATGTTTTATTCTCAAAATGTCCATCTCTGGTCGATATTCCCTGATCAATCCTACCACAATCAAAGCCCTGATAATTTGATTTTTTTGGAGGGGAGGTGACTTTGTCTGAAGCCTCCGAGTCATTTATGAAATTTTCTTGAATAGCTCCAATTTTTCTTTTCCTTTTTTGCCCGAAGTTTATATAATGGAACATGTCCAGTTTTCATTATGGCCACTGAAATATATAAAAAAAATATTTCTCAAAATGATTTCAATTAGTTGTTTTCAAGATTTTTAAATTAAAT